TAGTCACTGGGGACTGGTTCTTCATCGTTGCTTCATCACTAACATTGCGGGTAACTAATTGATACGCTATAACTCATATGGGAATTGTAGACCTCGCTCACTTAAGATCTTTCTCGGTTGTGGGAATTGATTCTGCTTTATTGCGCCAAGCACAGCATCTTGGCTTGGCCTTTTAGCAATGGTTATGTCCGCAGAACTTCATCTCGTCGTCTTCGCAAATCGTTCGAAAATTTAGGCAAAGTCATCTGACTTTAAAAAAATGAATGGGTTATTGGTACACAACAGCAACGGTAGGTCGGGCACAATAGACGCTGGTGACGCAGAAGAGGACAAACGGGAAATGGGTTACAGTGGGAACGCTTAGCCCTCAGAAATGATATAACCGGAGAAACCCTCCGCAAACATGCGAGAAATATCGTCGAGTGTCCGCGGGGATATTTTCTGACGTCACGGCGAACGAGAGCTTTTGAACTCGCATGAGCTTGAACTGCGTGAAGAACTGTTGCGTCTACACAAATCGGATCGGTTCCTAAAGTCAGGTGCCTTGGCCTGGATTCCGAATGATTTATGCAGAGGTGACGGGGTCCTGATAAAGGAAGGGGGTTCACACAGTAGTGGTCCAGGGTGATGCGTCGGCATGGTATCTGTTACCGTACAGGTAGCACGCTGAATACTCAAGCACGCATGCAATACGGGTATGCCCGATCAACAGAAATTATGGTATTTATTGATTAGCTTTCCTTAATGTTTACCTACCTAGGTAATTAATCTAGCGTATCGCAGTGTAGTAGATATTGCTGGAATCGCACATGTTTCCTATATGCGTCCTACTAAGATGGAAATCGCTCTGATTCCACATTTATTCTAAGGTTTTGACATCTAAAAGGTGCGGCCTTATTCCCATACGGCCGCACCTTTTAGATGTCGAAACCTTAGAATAAATGTGGAATCAGTGCGATTTAGGGATAGTGTAATTATGACGGCCAGTTGCAGACCATGCACGAAATGCCTTCACGAAATTCTATTGCGTGTGCATGTAGATGTGTGTATGTGTGTGTTTTCTCCGCGCAGGGATTTAGTGGAGACGGCACTAATGGACATCAGAGCAAAAATCGCCGACTTCGAAGACAAAATTGAGAATCCCGAACACCAGGGTATGCGTTTATTAACCCAGGCAGGCGCATAGCCCATCGTGGCTTGCACGCAGGATTTCACACCAGTTATTTATAAAGCTTAATTCCCACGTTTGCAGATTCATCTGGTAAACAGCGTATATAACGATCGAGATTTATTGCCAAACACGATTTCGTGAATAGGCGCGCATTTCCTATGTGGAATATTAACGCTTTGATGGGGAATTCTACTCCCCCTTGCCCAACTGAACATAACGCCATTGCATACTGAACGTAGAGCAATGAGTGTAGTAGATAGTGCGGGAACCTTCTTGTATTTGCGACGTATACTAAGATCGAAAATCGCTTTGATTCCACATTGTTTTCGACCTTTATAAATATATATTATAT